TTGCGCGGACTGCGGCGGGAGACACTCCACCCTGTTATGCGTCAAAACAAATCAAAATAAAGTAGCGGTCATTGCGGCGTGCGCGCGAGAGCACTCTGGGGAACGTGGGCCAGAAACGACGACGACGATGGAAATCGGGGAGAAAAATCTCCCAACCGGCTACGTCGAGGCGATGTCGGAAAGCAACGAGACAATTTGCAGAATTGTTCTAGATACGGGCTCCCAGAAGACTCTAATCACTAGGGCTGTGCAAAATATGCACCAAAAACTCGGAAATATGCATGCAGTATGCACGAAAAAATACGGCCAAATATGCATGAAAATATGCACGGATTTTCTATAAGAGATCCTTGTTACAAGCAACCACAACCGATTTCCTCGGTTTTTCAAAGAGGAATGAGTTCCCGTTGTCTGGCACTATCGCCCTATACTGCGGGAAAGAACGCTCCTCTTCGCATGGTACCAGAGCCAACTGAGCTCTCTCGAATGTTTGGCGGCAGTCTACATCTCAAGTCAGAGGTTGCACTGCGTCGACGTTTGCACGCCGCCTACCAACTTCGGCAGTCTGATCTAAGGCACCCTGAAATCATCTGAAAGTGCTTCATTAGGAGGGTTTTCGACAGATTTTGCTCTGGCTCGTGAGAACCGACGGGTGGTCGAGTGGCGCGTTTGTCACTTCTCGTGCAAAAGTGCGTTTCACTTCGTGAAATTCCGCAACGACGCCGCTCGTTCGAGAGGTGGCGTGGGTTTGATCCCTGTTGCCGACAAAATATTCCTCACGGAAACGCAGGTACTCGGCCCTGATCCTCCTGGGTACATTCGCTCTATGGATCCGTCCTCGGAAGCAATGTGAATAACAGTACCCGGGACGTTAAACCTCGGCTGTGTGGTCCAGCCCGAAAAAGTTTTCCTGGCTCGTGAGGAGAAGTCGACATGCCCTCGACTTGAGATTGAAAACTCATAGTATATGGGAGCTCATAAGACGGAATTATATAAAAATTCTCGAAAATTCAGAAATCGGCGAAATATGCAGTATGCATAAAAATATGCGTTATGCGTGATGCACAGCTTCACTGAGCTTTAGTTCATGGCACAGCCCTACTAATTACCGTTGGCGGATAGAGTGAATGCAAGACAAGTGGGCACAGATATGTATCTCGTTCCCACAGTCGGCGGGGTATGCGAACTCACGAAAATGTAAAGGGCGTATCGTGGAAGTAATTCTGAAGAGCAGGTTCTCCACCCAACAGGTGATCATTAGAGGAACGGCATTAGAAAATGTTATCCGGGGATCACTCCTAAAGGCGGGCTTCTGCGGAAACCTAAATCCAATAGCAGATCGGCACGACGGCGATTGGGCGACCGAGGTCGACATTCTGATAGGAGTGGATTCACTATACCCAATTTTGGGTTGCGACATCAAAAAAGCGAATGGACTCATTGTGTTTGAAACTCGATTCGGATACTTTCTCTGCGGAACCATGCAACAAGATTCACAAACGAATCCATGGCTAATGAAAGCAATCAGAAATGAAAGGAGTTCCTGGTCGGCAGACGGGAAAACGTCAGACAAAACAACCTGCACGTCCCTAGCGGTACTTGCCAAACCCAAAATCGACGGTGAGGATCTGTCTTTTTTGTGGGAAAGAGAGGTTCTGGGAATCGAACCGTTCTTCAAGGATGGAGACGGGGCAGCAAACGAGGAACTAAACGAGTTCTTCGAGAAAACAATAAGACGATCTCCATCGGGGAGATACGTCATAAGCTTACCCTTTAAACCGAACAAAAGTACTCTCGGAAATAATCGTAAATTAGCAGAGAATCGACTCAGAAGCTTGATCGTACAGGCCCGGAGAAATCCAAAGATATTCCGAGCGATCGACGACGAAATACGGGATTTACTAGACCAGGGCTTCGTCGAGCAAACATACGCGCCGAAGCCAAACGAATACGCCCATTACTTACATCTCCTAGCGGTAATCAAAAAAGCGGCCTCAACGGCAGAAGTTAAAATGAGAGTCGTGAACGATGCGGGAGCGCGCTCCAGAGATGAGGCAGGTCCGAACGATGTGTTATTTCAAGGCGGAAATCTCATCGCAGACATCCTAATAGTCCTCCTCAGGTTCGGGCAACTGCCAATAGTCATTACAGCAGACATTGAAAAAGCGTATGTCCAATTCGAGATCACAAGAGAGCATAGAACCTATCTGAGATGGCCACTGGGTATCGGGGTAAACCCTAAAGCAAACATGAGAGAATTCCAATCGTGCAGGTTATCGTTCGGACTGATTCCTGCGCCGCACAGTGGGGCCAAATCGGATTTTAGGTGGACAGAAGTCCATGGAAACCGATCCCGGAATTTTGATCGGTTATGGGTTTGAAAATGTTCGTAAGACTCTGGAAGTCGCGGGGGAACCATGATTACCGCATTTTCTGCATCCCCCAGCCACCCTGGCACCTGCGAGCGAAAAATTGATTTTTTTATTTGTACGACGATTTTCATGAATTTCTCCCCTCAATCGGTGATGCTCGGAAATGAACATACTTCGTGCCCTCGCATTGGGGGAAAATTATCTTCTGCGCTCAGTTCCCATCCTGATCTCGCAATCCCACATGATTCCGGTCGAGTCAGCCGATTCTGGACATGCTGGGAAAAGAGGGGTATCCAAGGGTGTCATTTCGCAGCTGAGCTAGAAGCAGGGATGCGAAACATCTCGGGGAGTAGCCAGCTTTATCAATATAAGCCGTTCGTAGACGACGACGGGGTTGTTAGGTGCAAGTCGCAAGGATAGGAACGCATCCGGGGGCTGCCACACCATGTGGTGTATAATCTCGATGGTCTCGTTCTGCCAGCTCGGGACTGGAGGGGAACCGAGCGGGATCATTCGGGAGGTACTGTCGAGGGTCCGCCACCTACGGTCTCGACGAGTTCTCGCGGGCTGTCGTCGGTCGATTCCCGCTCGAGGATTTGTCTCCCTCTTTTTTTCAAAAATTCACCCTAAACCACCAAATCATGAACCAAAACACTCCAGCAAATACTCAACCTTCTGCGGCCTCCAAGATTTCCCCAACCCCCTGTTGCAATCTCTCCATTCATTTTTGCAACATCAGAGGCCTCCATTCTAACCTTGCCTCGGTCCACCAACATCTCGAGACTGAACGCCCCTTCTTCCTTTTCCTAACCGAAACACAAATCTCAAGCCCCCTCGACTCTACCCACCTTCGTTATCCGAGCTACGAATTACATGAATCCTTCCGCTTCAAAGGTGGAACGTGCGCTTTTGACAGATCTGACCTTGTGTGCTGCCGCTTGCTCACATTCGAATCCTCCGCTTTCGATGCCCTCTGGCTAAAAGCCTCTATCTCCGGCATCCAAACATTTCTCTGTTGTCGCTATAGATCCCCTAACGACAATGATCACGTCTCCTTCTTCTCCTACCTCTCAAATAAAATCGACCTAATCAACACCACCTATCCAAACTCACAAATTATCTTACTCGGTGATTTTATTGTCCACAACTCTGCTTGGCTCCGATATCCCGGAGCTACCAACGCTGCAGGCCGCGAGGCCGAAATTTTCTCCATTTCCCATGATCTTACTCAATTAGTTAAATTTCCAACGAGATTTCCAGATAGAATTTCGAAATCAGCCAACACCTTAGACCTCTTCCTGGCGACTTCCTTCATCGAATATCTCTATTTTAGGCGTGTGCCTTCCATCAAACCTTGAATGGCACCATCACATAGCTAACATGGCCAAGTCAGCTTCCCAGAAACTAGGATTCCTCTTCAGAGCCAAACGTATTTTTCTCCATCTCACCTTCTTCTGCTCTATAAAACCCAAATCCGTCCCTCTCTTGAGTACTGCTTGCATATCTGGGGTGAAGCCGCTCCTTCATCCCTCTCTATCCTGGACTCTATTCAAAAACGTGCTATCCGTCTCATCGGTGATTCAGCCATATCCTCTTCTCTTGAATCTTTATCCTCACGTCGTAACGTTACCGACCTCTGCCTATTTTATCGATACTTCCATGGAGAATGCTCAGATGAAATCTCTTCCCTCGTTCCCCCTATTTCGGTCCCCGCCCGTGTAACCAGGAAGAGTACCAAGCAGCATCCCTACTCTGTCCAACTTTCCTCCAATCGTACTGCTCAATTCGCCTCCACTTTTTTCCCCCGTACATTCCGTCTATGGAATGCCCTTCCCCCTCATGTCTTCCCTCCAACGTACGATCCGAAACTCTTCAAATCCAACACTATCCGCTCTCTCCCTTCAGGTAAAGAGCCATAGGTTTTTTAGTGGGTATTATGTACATGAGCCCCACACTCCGGTTGAATTTTCCACTCTTCTGGGTAGTGCGTCAATGCATTTTTTCCTATGGCTCTTTCACCTTTTCCTCCTTGCTTCCCCCCAGTCCCCCTCCCCCTTTTCGCACTCGCAGTTCCTTTTGAGAATTATAGGGTCATCCCTTTGCGAGCGGCTACACAAAAAGAAAAAAAAATACCTGATTGTCGGAATCACGCGAGATATCCTACGAAACAGCGAATCCAATCATAGTACCGGGAGAAGACGAAATGGTCGATCTATACATTCGATGGATCCACGGACACTTATGCTGCTGTTACGAAAGGAACCGCCAAGAGATCATATCGACCACAGGAAGGTCTTTAATTGAGCTCCGTCGGTTGCTTAAGAGAAGTTGTTTTGATAGAAAGCAGAAGCTGTTACGCGACGCGCGAATAAGTGTCTGTGTTTTCCAAGTTCAGTAATACGACGAGAATACAAGTTTCCGGTTTGAAAAATCTGCATCTTCACTGTCACCAAGAAAGTTCGACAAGGTTCGCTATAATTGGCGCCCAACGTGTCATCATCTCGGTATAATCGTCGATACCATCGGACCTCGCGACCGAATCGAACCGACGGAGTGACTGCCTCGTGCACGTAGAGAGCAAAAAGAAACTGTTTCGAAGCCGAAAAACGCCATTGATCGACATTGATCATGTCAGTAACGGACAAGCAGACCAGCATCGAACTTCTTCGAAAACCCATACGAAGCGCCATCGAAAAGTTCGCCCGATCGCTCAACGAGCTGATCGCGACGAGAGATGGAACGCCAGTGGAGGAATACTCGAGAAAGCTCCGATGTGAAATGGCGACTCTCAATCGAATCCGAAGTCAAGCCGCCTCAACGGTATCCCAAGAAACTTATGAAGCCGAGTACAGAAAAATGGATGAATTTGCAAGACACCTCGATCATGCTCAAGGAGCAATTATTGAAGAAGGAATGGCGAGGATCAAGCCATCATCAAACAAGATACTCGGTGACATCTCGCAATTCGACCAAACACAACAAACAGTCATGAATGGAAGCCGGGGAGAAAACCTCAACGAATCGCAGCTAGACAACGTTCTAACAAGATTGGCCGTCGTGCAGGAACAACAATCGCACCACCTTCCTGTTCTCGAGATAAGAAAGTTCAGCGGCGATGTAACAACGTTCTACGCCTGGTGGGACGAGTTTAAGGTGAATATCCATGACAGACCACACATGACCAAGAGCCAGTTTACCTACCTCAGGAATTTCTTAGAGGGAGAGGCAGCGATGAGCACAGAGAAGACGCTCTCTTCAGGGGCTAATTACGGGCGAACGCTCAACTACCTTTTTGATAGATACGGAAATGCTGAAAGCATAGCTATCGAAATATTCACCCAGCTCCTTAGAATGCCCGATCTCCCCAAGTTCACAGACAATTCGAAACTTGGAGAGTACCTTGACAAGGTGACAAGTCATTAGGTAGCCCTTCAGGTGATGAATCTGGGTCCGTCCAATTATGCATCCATGCTATATCCGGTACTTTAGCGGAAACTACCGCATCGACTCTCTCATCGATTCATGGAGAAAGTTGAGGTCAAGGATATGAGGCTGGGAGAGGAGGACGATTTTGTTGAACCGAATCGTTCAAAGATTGATCTCGCGGAGATCTTCACGACCCGTCTCAATGCATTGAGAGATTTTCTCAAGAGGGAGACGGAAACAGGCTTCCAAATCGGGTCGATCCTTGGAGCGACAACTCCCAGAGGAGGTGAACAGGCTGGTCACCGCATCAAAGACTCCAATCGGGAACCTGCAGACAGCAGGGTTCCTCCAGTGGCTAAAGCTATTCTTCCGGCTCAGAAACAGAATTTGGAGTGCCCTTTCTGTAAAGCTCCACACTTCCCATCTGAATGTACGTCCGAGTTACCAGTCGAGGATAGAAGGCATCGTTTGACCAAAGCTGGTTTCTGTGCCAAATGTTTACGGTACGGACATGCGGAGGGAAAATGCGCTGCACAGATCAAATGTAAAGGAGATCATCACAGCTCGATTTGTACCAACGGATTAGCCACTTTGGCTGCCGTTGCGAAAGCAGGAGGGACAATGTTGCCGCTGGGGCATTTGACGATACAGGGCGTCTCCGGAACAGAGGTGGTCCGGTTCCTCCTTGACAGTGGCTCGGAGAAAACCTACATTACCGATGATTATACCCGAAAGCTACACTTGAAAAAGATTGGTTCAGAAAAATTCTTTGTCCACACCTTTGGAGAGACTCTCCCGAAGTTGAAAAGATACGATGTCGTCGAATTCGAGGTTAAAGCCCTCAAGGGAGAAATTCTGGAATTCCAGGCGCTCGTCGTGCCTAATATTACGGGGAAAGTTCCCGAGCTCCTATCAGAAACCATTCGGCATCGGCTCTCCAAGCCAGCGGAACATCCTCAGGGCCCGAGAGAACTCGGCATTCTTTTCTGCTTACCCGACATGGCGAGAATAGTGTCCGGAGGCTTCGAGAGGCTAACAGACCAAGGGTCAATTCTAAAGACAATCTTCGGGGAGATCCCGGTCGGACAATCAAGCTCCGGTCTCTGTTCGAATGGCTCCTTCTTGATAAACATAGAAAAGTTTTGGGACCTCGAACATATTGGCATACTTCCCGAGGAAAGCCTGAATGAGTCTCAAATATCGGATACTTTCACGGAAGATTTTTTGAAGACGGCAACCTTCGAAGACGGAATGTATACGACCGTTTTGAACCTAAATCACAAGAGAGTAGAATTCCTTGCCAACAACTATCAATCAGTCAGAAAACAAGTTCTGAACCTCTTGAGAGTGTTCGAGCAGAAACCTGAGCTAATGAGGGAATATATAAAGCAAATGGAAGTGTTCTTCGATAACAGATTTGCTGAGCCTCTGCCTGCCAATGAATCGCCCAAGTATTATATGCCGCATTTTCCGGTGGTGAATAATTCCAAGCGGTCGTATAGAGCTCGGCAAGTTTTCAACGCGTCGCGTCGTCTCAAATGAGAGGGCAACTCTCTCTCAAGGACGTCATTCTCGACGCTCCGAATCTTTTACCAACCTCTGTGGAAGTTCTGGCAAGATTCAGGATCCACAACGTCGGCCTTGTCGGGGATATCACCAAGGCCTACATGATACATGACTGTTGGGATCAGACAGGATATGAGAAATTTCCAGTGTTTTATTTGGTCTAGAGAAAAAACCCATCCAGTATTCAAACGTACAGAATGAACAGGAATTGTTTTGGCGTCAAAGACGCACAATTCAACGTGATAGCGATTATTCGAAATCACGCGGCGAAATTCAAAGATACGAACTCAACGGCAGCCAATGCCCTGACAGAAGATCTGTGTATGGATGATCTAATAACGGGGGCAAACTCCTTGGAGGAGGCTGCAAAGCTCCAGACCGATATATACAGGATACTGTCTGAGGCAGGAATGATCATGAAAAAGTGGCGCACGTCAGGGGATGAAAATTTCGACGAGGATTGCGGAATTCTCGGTTCCCAGGCACCGGAAAAGGTCTTGGGCATTGTTTGGGATTCAGCTAGGGATGCACTGTGAGATTCGATTCGAGAGGTTTGATCGAGTTCACCTCAACGGCACGTCCTACCAAGAGAACGATTCTCGGCGCGGCTGCCAGGCTGTATGACCCAACGGGATTCCTTTTGTTACGAAAGGCGTCTCGAGGAAGAGACCCTTCGGTGATTCAATTAAAGTGCGCGGTTCTCCCTTGCACCTTTTCCCCTCGCAACGTCTCCTCTCCCCGCTCTCTACCGCGCGTTGAGGAGACATCAGCGAGAACACACACCTTCACCTGCAGCCGCTAGCGGATCGATCGCGATCCGGCGCGTTGGGCAGTGAGGGAGAATCAGCGTTTCCCCCCAAGAAATCGTGTTTTCTCTTGTGTCAATTTATCGTCAACACAGATCGACCGCGATCTGTAACATTGGTGTCAGAAACTCTCGAAGAACCCGCGACCGCGCGGCGCATCCTCTACAGCCATCCGTGGCAGTCACCGACCGCGGTGACTCGCAGCTTCGTGACCGCACGAATTTCGCCGACCGCGGCGAAACAATTCCGTCTCAACCGTGAGTCATCCAGAGCAATCGTGCTCCACCCGTATCCTCCGGAAACTTCGGCGCCTTTCACCGGAATCCGCTTGTCAGCCTCGAAGCCGGTCACGCCTAGGCCTAGCTTCTGCGCTAAGTTCCGAAGCCCCCTAGCCGAAAAATCCGTCAACGCGGGTCCCATAGCTACCATCCCAGAGCAACCGTGCTCGGGAGGACGCGTTTTTCCGTGAAATACGTGGATTTTCATCCTCGCTCTCAGGTCCGCTTTCAGCCGACCACGTGCTTGCCCTCAACTAGGGAACTGTCACACCAATAGGACGTTCCCACAATGGCAAATAACGCGGAGACCGCTCCCGTTGCCGGCCCTTCGGGCGCATGTGACATCAAAGAGCAGAATATCCCGAATCAAATTATCATTCCACCAGCTCCCATAGCGCTTATGAAAAACAGAATCAGAGTCCTCCGCATGAAACTCACAAAAACCAACAATAGAGTTGAAGAAATGTTCACAAGGGAGGTCGACCCAGACCACGACGAAGCCATGGCCCTCGAATCAGAGCTCAACGGATTTCTCGAGAAGTACCAGCAACTTTTCGAAATCGCGTCCTCCGATCCGGAGCTAGTCTCCGATGTTAAGAAATTGGAGGAAGAATTCGACAAACACATGAAGTATGAGGCGGAAACGGGAGAGAACTTAGCAAAACTTCGCTCCTGCATTCGTTCGCTGAGCAGATCGCAAGGGCGCCCCAACCCTCAATTCTCCAACGTTCCGCAGCAGTCGCAACCCGGTAGAACCGCCACCCCGTCGGAGACTTTCTACTCAGAGTCGCCCGATGGTGGGCACCCGCAGGACGCCGCCTTTCGGCAACCTGCACCACAACCCGACCCGGACCTTCAGAACCCTCTTTGGCCGGTGAAGAACCCAGAGAAGAAAATCCCGAAGTACAACGGCGACCCCATCAAATTCAAGGAGTGGTGGAACCTATTCAACTACTTCGTGGACTTTAGACAAATGAACACCACCGAGAAATGCAGAATCCTGAAGACATCGCTCCAAGGAAAGGCTCTTGGATCGGTCTCCCATCGCGACATCGGGGAAGAGCATTACGAGCTCATCAAATCGACTCTCCTGAACGCGTTCGGTCACAGCGACGCTGCGAAGATCCAACTGGCTCAGAGAGTTCATTCCCTCTGCAACATGAAGGACATCGCCAAGCCCGGCAAGTTTATCCATTTTGTTTCTCAGATGGCTCAAAACATTCGCGCGCTAGTGGCTCTAGGTGACACCTTCGAATCTCTCTCAACGTCCTTTGCGCCCATGATTCTCTGTTGCATCTCCTACGACCTCCGTGTTGAGTTCGATACGTTATGGATAGATAGATTATCCGACGATTTCTCACAGCTAGAGTCCCTTCTCTCCTTTCTGGAGAAGAAAAAGATGATATTCGAGACGGCGCAGCGCCAAGTGAATTTTCTCAGTAACGGTGGAGACTCTCGCTTTAATAATCCCAACTCAAGGGATAAATCCGATAGCAAGGAAAGCAGAAATCCGAACAAGGATTACGGCCATATTCAGAGATCCCAATTTTCGTTTACGGCGGTGACCAGCCAACCGCAGGGCCGCAGCCCCCAGCGACTGGCTGCAAGACCCCTCAGGTCGCGGCCGTCGGCTGTCACATGGGGACCCCGAGCTCCTCACCTCTGCTCCAAACGGCCTACGTATACGTGGTGAACGGTTCCAAGAAGTTAGTCTGTCGAGCTCTTCTGGATTCGGGTGCGATGCGCTCACTGGTTTCAGAACGTATCACCACGGAACTCGGTATCAAAGCCTTCCGCTCGGAAGAATTCAACCTCCACGGGGTGGGTGGAGCTATCTCGGAATTCAAAAGAGCCGACGTGTGTCGGCTCAAGCTCCAGAGTAGATTCTCTAGTAAGAATATCACGATAGATTGCCTCAAAATCCCGAGAATTTTAAAAGGCGAGCTTCCGCATGCCTCCTCATTCAAGGGCTTTCCCCCAGTAGCCGACCAGAAGAGGGCGGGTTTCCCGGAAGAGGTAGATCTCCTCATAGGGAACGACTGGCTGCACCTCGTCTACTCGGGTCAAGAGCAAATATCATTCACAAGAGTCGGTTCCCTCCTTGCTTGCCCAACCCTTTTCGGCTGGGTCTGCTGTGGCAGCGACGGCCAGAATCAAATCCGCAACTCGGTTTTCACGTCAACAGCGGTGATTCAGGTCGTCGCTTCTGCGGCTATAGTCAAGAAGACACCAGCAGGAGACAGGAAAAAGAACAACGTCAATCTCGAATCCCTGTGGGACACAGAATTGCTCGGCATCGAGCAGCCTATCCCTCCGGACGAGGAGAGATCAGAAGAGGAACTGGTTA